TTGAGGGCGGAAAGACATTCCTATAACCTCAATACCTTAACAGTGTCTGGCATATGGGTGGTACTCAATGAGGTTAGTTGAAGCATCAAGTCTCTGAAATAGCCATGCTCAGTCCTGCTCCCCGACTTTGGCACATGTATCCTGTGGATTACCCAAAGCCAGAAAAACTCCTCCTCTTTTCAGTTCCCACCTCCTAACTGGAGCCAGAAGTGACCTCTCTCTCCTCACCTGCACCACAGTTGAGACAAGCCTTCATCCATTCACGCATACACGCATCCATCCATCCACCCATTCAACAAGTACCGGTGTGAGCCCTGTAGGCAAGGTCTTTGCTCTCAGGGAGCTGACAGAGCTCAAAGGTCAGACAATAAACAAGAAAACATACAGGGAAATCAGAGTGTAAAGAAGCAGGATGACTTGAAGGGGCAGACAGTGGAGGATCAGGGCAGTTTCTCTGGGGGTAACAAACAGAAATCGAAAGAAGGAGTCAATCATTTGAAAGATCGGGGAAGAGGACTACAGGCAGAAGGAACAGCATGTGTGCTGGGACTGAACTTAATCTGTTTAAGGAACATAAGGTGACCCGTGTGGCTGGGCAGAGTGCCAAGGTGGGAATGCTGGAGCTGGAAGAACGGATGAGAGGGGTACGAGCCAAGGTCAGGAAGACCCCTTCCATCTCAGCAGGATGATCTCAGCTGGTCAACACACAGGGGCCAAATCACACAAGTTGCTGTGGAACAGGATAAGGAATTTATTCTAAGTAGGATGGCATGCCCTTGATGGGGATGCAAGTAGAGAAGTGAATTACTTGATCTGTATTTTTGAGAGACGATTCTAGCTGTGGTGTGGAGGCCAGGGTGCAGAAGGGGAGAAGCAGACACCAGGTAGGAAGCGGGGAGTCTACCTGGAGAGATGAAGGGGGCTTCTCACAGGGTGTGATGATGGAGGTGTAAAGAGGTGGACAGATCTGGCGGCCAAGCTGGCAGGCAAGAGAAAGGGAAGAATAGGGGAGAACTTCTACAGGTTCAGCTTGATCCATAGGGTGAATAGTGTCAGTTACTGAAATGGGGAAGATGTTGAGAAGCAGCAGATTCAATGGAGGGAAGAGAGACAATTTGAGGCTACTCTGTCTTCCAGTTTTCAAGGTCACCTCCTTGGTCTGTGAGCTGTTTGAGCACAAGGACTGACTGTCTTCCCCTGTTGACCCTACCCGTGCCACTCCCCACCCCCAAGCCTGAGTTCGAGTCTTGGTTTGGTACTTAGTAAGTGATAACCAAACTCACTGCCAATGAGTCGATTCCAACTCACAGAGACTCCCTTTGGGTTTTCAAGGCAGTAAATCTTTACAGAAGTAGATTGCCCCGTCTTTCTTCCATAGAGTATCTGGTGGGTTTGAACCACCAACCTTCTGGTTAGCAGTCAAATGCCTTAGGCATTATGCCACCAGCTCTTAAATGATGATCAGGGAACAGCAATGTTCCCTGTACCAACGTCCCTGGCTGGGTAAGCCCAGGAAACTTTGTGAGTCCTCTCATTACAGAGCAGGGCAGAGCCCTAAATATGAACTCAAATCCACAGTGCCACAGTCACCCTCTCGGAGCCTCAGTTTCTCATTTGTTAAATGGAAATCTTATCCCCCACCATGCAATGTGGTTCTGAGCAGCAAATGAGGAAACATGGAAAGTTCTAGCACACAGCAGATGCTTAGTAGATAGTGACAAAAGCTAGCACAACGGAGAGCCTTTTAGTGGCAGGCGGTGGTCTAAGCATGCTTATATAAATTAATTTATATAATCTTCATCACAACCCTATAAAGTATGAACATTATGCCCAATTAATAGAAGAAACAATAGCCACAGAGATGGTAAGATACCTACTTGACGTCAGAGGAAAGAAGCCAGGATCTAAACTCCGCTGTCTGGCTCCAGAGCTGGTGCTTTTACATACGACACTAAGTGGTCATTATCATAAGCACCCCAATGTAAATTACATTTCTCCATCCATCCTCTTCCTGGCCTGAGCATGGAAGGCAGAGAAACCAAGGGAGGCTCACCCTGAGGGGGGCAGCCTGGGAGGGTCCCTGCATAGCTTAGGAAGCAGCACCGACCCTGAGCCTCAGGGATGTTGCTGGGAGGGGAGTAACCTAAGAGCTTAGCTGGTCCAGATTTACAGGGGGAAACTGAGGCCCAAAGAGAAGGGATGCGCCCAAGGTCACACAGAGAGCAAACTGGCAGCTTAAGCAGGACTAGATCCCATGTCTTTAAAAGTAATGATGACAGGCAGATACTTCTCCAGTAGTCACGTAGGGACTGTCTCACATTAACTTACCGAATCTTCTACACATGCAGTAGATGTTAACATCATCCCTATTTTACAGCTGGAGAAACTGAGGCATGGTGCACTTATGAAATTTGCTCAAGCCAAGATTTGAGCCCAGGCTCAACCATTACTCTACACCTCTGAGGACCAGGGCAAGTTTCCTGGGGAGAGGTGGTTATGACAGACAACAAGCCCAGTTTTGCCCCTCTGTCCAGTTCTGGCCTGAGAGATGACCAAGACTCTGGAGTACTCCTTGAGCTTGGGAAGAATACATGCGACCGGGCTGGGGTGAGTGGGGAGAGGTCTGAGAAAAGGCCCAGAGGGCAGAAGCTCTCCCACCTGGGGCTCTGACAGCTGATGCCTGCTGTGTGCCAGGCAGCCTCAGCTTCCTGTCCACCTGGAGGAAATCTCAGCCACGGTAGGCACACAAACCCACAGGAACACAGACTCCGACCCACAGTCTGATAAGTCCCAGTCCAACGGCACACACCCCCAACTCCAGCACGCAACAATCCAGACACAGCCTATGCACACACAAAACCCGTTTACACTCTCAACTCTCACCGCGACACAGCCTATGCACACACAAAACCCGTTTACACTCTCAACTCTCACCGCGACACAGCCTATGCACACACAAAACCCGTTTACACTCTCAACTCTCACCGCGACACAGCCTATGCACACACAAAACCCGTTTACACTCTCAACTCTCACCGCGACACAGCCTATGCACACACAAAACCCGTTTACACTCTCAACTCTCACTGCCATCAGGTCGGATCTGACTCATAGCGATCCCTCCTTGGGTTTTGAGGCAGTGTCTCTACAGAAGTAGGTTGCCCAATCTTCCTTCCGAGGAGTGGCTGGTGGGTTTGAACCTCCAGCCCTCTGGTTGGCAGTCAGATGCCTTAGGCGCTGCACCACCAGAGTTCCCCAAATCCAAATCAAGTCCCACCAAGTAGATTCTGACTCATATCTGTAATCTTTACAGAAGCAGACACATCTTTCTCCTGTGGAGTAGCTGGTGGGCTCAAACCACTGACCTGTCTGTTAGCAGCTAAGCATTTAATCACTGTGCCACCAAGGCTCCTTAGGCCTCTCTGTCTAAACAAAACCAAATCCACTGCCATCAAGTTGATCCCGACTCATAGCAACCTTACAGGACAGAGTAGAACTGCCCCACAGGGTTTCCAAGGCTGTAAATCTTTACAGAAGCAGACTGTCTCATCTTTCTCCCACAGAGCAGCTGGCTGATGGGTTCCAACCATTGACCTTTTGGTTAGCAGCCAAATGCACTAACCACTGTGCAACCTAAGGTCTTTTTACAATAACACATAAGCATATACATACTAGGACACAATAAGCAAGCACTTGTGCACATATGAGGCGCTCTGATAGTGTAGTGCCTAAGGCATCTGACTGCTAACCAGAAGGTTGGCGGTTCAAACCCACAAGCCACTCCTTGGAAGGAAGGTTGGGCAACCTACTTCCAGAGTGATACTGCCTCGGAAACCCAAGCAGGAGTCGGTTCCCACTCTAGGGCAGTGAGATTTTTTTGTTTGTTTGTTTGTTTGTTTTTTTGTACACATATGAACTCATCCTCAGAAAAACATACACCCTCCCCCACACACCTCCTTTATCATTATACCTACCTTCATTCACATCCCATCCAGGCACACAGCTCCACAGGCCAAGGTGCCTGGAGACAACACCTCCTCACACATGACCCATGTGCTTATATACATTGCCCAAATCCCCAGCGGTGAGACCTTAGAAGGCTGCATGCACACGCAGCCAGCCTCATATATGTAGGCAATACAGCTGCCTACCCAGATCACACCAGGCCTGTGCACCACCACAACCCGGACTCCTAATTCCCGGGAAGAATTCCTCCCCCAATAAACTATGCACGCCCACACTCAGGCGTTTGAGGAGTCCAGCTTCTCCCACCCAGAGAGAATCCTGACCCCAATTGACAGCGCCCAGCACACAGCGTCGGAGAACTTGCCCCACCTCGCCCTGCCTCCCCCCTCTTCGCAAACTCCGGGTCGGCCCTGGCACCTGTCAGGCAAATGGCAGGGCTGGCTGGCCCCCTCCCAAGCCCCACTCAGCGGGCCAACACGCAGAGCCCGCACCCCCGCAGCAAGGAGGACATGCTCAGAGTTGGGGGAGGGAAGGAGAGGACATAGGTCTGCAGTCCAGACGCTAAAAATCTCGCCATCACTCCAGTGCAGCCCCCTTGGGGACCTGGCTCTCACTTCCCTGCCAGGAAACCCCCTGCGTCTGCATTAACCCTTCACCACTCCATGCCGCGACCCCGCGGGAAGGACCCCAGGAGAAGAAGTCACAGCAGACTCTCATTGGTCACCGCATTCCGGGGGTGAAAGATGGTTGACAACGTTGCGGGGACTCGGACCCTTCATGGAAACCCCCCAAGCTCCATGCATCCCATTTGCAGTCCCATCAAAGAGAGCCCGAGGTCTGGAGGGCAAAGGGGGGGTAATGAAGAAGCGAGAACCAGAGATCTTGGGGGCATGGGCTGGAGAAGGGGGAGCAACTGAAGGGTACGTGCAGGCAAGGACCACCCCCTCCAAAAAGTCCTCTGCAGGAGAAGGGGGGGCGCGGAGGGGCGCGTGCACGAGGCGGGAAGGAGGTGAGAGGAAAAGACGCTCCCTTACCTGATTTCCTCTTGGAACTGCCATAGTCCCTGAAAAAGAAGCAACAACAGATAGACATGGTTAGGGCTGGGCGCGGGCGCGGGCTTGCGGGGCTGGGGCTGCGGCTGCGGTCCGTCCTCGGCGCGCAGCTCATGTGATTCCGGCCCGGCAGCCGCGCGCTCTGCGCAGTGATGTCAACCGCATCCGCCGCAGCGCCCCTGCCCCCACCCTGGCCTCGCCCGCGCCGCCGC